TCCTACAGTCTCCCTTTCCCAGGATTGATGCTGGGAAGGTAGTCAGCAACACCAAGAAGCTGCTATACCCCTGGGGCTGGAGGTCAAGGGGTGAGATGTGATGGCAGAGCCTTGGAGCTGGGATACCAGGTTGGAGCTGGAGCTGCAGCAGAACTTTCCAGAGGGAGCAGGAGAGACCAAGGTGGGAGGGACATTTGGCGGGATTCAGAGCCATGGAATAGATACAACCACTGTCTGAGATGCCCCTGATTTTGAGAGAGGGAGAGAAATATCCTGGCTTCTTCCTTCTTCCCACTTTCAATCTTTAGCCAGCAACTCCCATTGGCTGAACCTAGATGGAAACTAATTGGCAAAGGAGCCTAGGAAAAAGGGGATGCACCCTGTGAGATACCGAGCAGGACAGGAAAGGTGGGGGGATGGATCTCACAGAAAACAGGCAAATATAACACATACCAGCACTGGAAATGGAGTGACTCCTGCCCTTCCTTATCTGGAACTCATCACCTGTCCCTGTCACTTTTGTCCCAATAATTACTTTGTAATAAGTGGAGGGTGGAGTGGAAGAAACTGGGTGGTGCGAAGTTTATAGGAAAAAATGGGCATGCCCAGCGTAGCAGTCTCCTTCTACTGTTTTGGAAGCATTTGCCCAGAGAGAGCAAGTGTTCTCAACTCCAATTTGAGGATTTAAGCTCACAGGGTAAGCTCTGTCCTACGAAGAGAGGGCCTGCATATGTTTGCGTGGTAGGGGGAGGGGTGCATAATTTAATTCAGAGGGAGTATTTGAGGATATAGCTGAGCTATATCCTCAAATCCATTTATTCTTCCACTAAAAGGACTGAATTCCAAATCTCTATTTGACTCCTGTGTCTTTTTCTCTCTCAACTGGTTTCAAACTTGGGAAGGGAAGAGGGGTTACTTTGGGAGCCCTTCAAACCCCAAGAAACGGCTGTCATTTATTGAGCACCTACTATGTTCTAGCCCCTCTATCCATATCATCTTGTTTAATCTTGAGGTAAAAAAAGTTATATGCACTGGAATAGAAGATTCATGAGAACAATGCCCATTCTCCTCTCAGCTCCAGAATGTTGCCCAGTATATGTTAGATACTCAATATTTGTTGAATAGACTTGTAAAATGAATGCCTATCTTACAGATGTAGAGACTGAAGCTCAGAGAAGTTATTGACGTGCCCAAAGTTACTCAGCTAGTAAAGGGAGGCGTGAGGATTCAAACCCAGGTCAGCCTGAGACTGAGCTTATGCTGCTGCCCTCCCCTTCCTCAGATGACCTCTCCTCCTGCCTACAGCAATTCCAGGCACCCCTCCAGACACCCCCTCTTCTGGGTCTGCCAGGTCCCCAATGCTCAGACAGTGACTCAGGTGCCTCGAAGGCAGGGAGGAGAGTGACATTCCCCTAGACACAGCCCTGCCCAGGCACTCTGGTGGAGGGCATGTGTTTGGGGGGTGGGTGGTGCAGGGACTCAGCTTCTAGGCTGAACTAGGGCAGAGGCGTGTTTGGGGCCAGGTTTCGGGGTCATCAGTGCCCTCTAGAAAACCCTTCCCCCTAGGTGAGGACTTTCGAGAGGGCAGAAAGGAGGCCAAAAGGGAGGTGAGTCTTCTATGGCTGGGCATCCAGAGAAGCAGCCAGGCTCCCTTCCTGTCTGCTGTACGAGCCAGCCCACCCTGGGCATCTGTAAGGCCATCTCCTCTCAGACCCCGAGAGGCTGCCCAGCTGAAAACTCTGGTGGCAGGCACTGGCAAGCCTAGGTTGGCCTGTGTATGGGTGTGGAGAGGTGAATATCCAGACCCCCATGGGGCAGCTGGAGCACCACCCAGCCTGGCTCCTGGGTACTTCCTCAGTGCAGGGGAATGCTTTCATCCCTGCTGCTTCTAAAGCTAGACTACAATTACCTTCTGCAGACTGGCACAAGAGACAGATTCTCAGCCTCAGAATCTGCCCGACGTATTTATTCCCTCGTCCCTGATGTGTCAGGAACGTGCCTGCCTCCAAAGCTTTGTTCTCACCATTCCCCCTTCTTTTCTCAATGTTTCCATTCCTTCCAGCTTAGGTCATGGTCACCCAGAACCCATCCAAATCTGGGGAGCTCTCCCTCCTCTAGATTCTCCTGGCACCTACTGCATCTCTATCACTGATTTGGTACTTGGCATTGACTGCTTTGTATGGTCACACTTAGCTTCTTGCTATATTTGGGAAATATCCTATTTCCCAAAATAGATTTTTAAAAATTTCTGTATGTATTCATGCAGTTATTTTGTGCACACGCATCAGGATTCAAAAAATATCGGAGAGATTTACAAACAGCAAAAATAAGTCTACACAGTGAAAATGTCTCCTTTACTGGTTGCCCTCCTGGCAGCCACCGCTGTCAACTTTTCGGTTAGTGCTTCCTTCCAGACACATCTACGTTTTTACTAATGTGCGTGTACATGTATAGATACACTTTGTTCTATACTTGTTTGTTCACATAACAATAAATCTAGAAGATGGTCCATATCAGTACCTATAAAGATACCTCATTCTTCCTGGTGACAAAATAGTATTTTACTATATTCTGTTTTATTCCATCACTTAACCAGTCTGCTATTAATGAGTATTTAGGTTGTTTTCAATTCTTTGCTATTGAAAAGAATGCTGCAACCCTGTACATACTTCTCTGCACACATGTTCAACTATAAAGTATTAGAATTGAAATTGCTGGTCAAAGGCTACACACTTCACTTCAATATACCCCCTATTGCTCTCTTTAGAAGTTATACCAAACCACCCTCTCCCTACCAGCATATGAGAATGCCTGTGCCCACAGCCTTGCCCATTGGATATATTAAACTTTCTGATCTTTGTCAATTACCTGATAAGTAAAACAGTATTTTGTCACAGCTTTCTTTTATAATTTTCATTATGAATGAGATTGAGCATCTTTTAATGTTTAAAAGCTAGTAGTTTTTATTCTGTGAACTGTGTTGTCCGTGTCCTTTGCTCATTTAAAAAATGACATTGTTTGTCCTTTATTAATTTGTTGGAAATAACCCTGTTTGCTAGATGCATTTCATAAAATTTTCCCGAGCTGTCGATGTCCCAACTAGATTTTTATCTCCTAGAGTACGGGGACCGAAACTTAAACCTCTTTGTATTCCTATTCTTAACATAATATTACATACAGGTAGATGCTAGACAAATGTCTGTGAAGAGAAATAAGGAGAAAAAGATTTGGAAGATTTTGGAGTGACCTAACGTAACTTATTCCTTCCTCTTATACCAAGATCAGTCAGGACTCTTGTAAAAAGCAGAAACTCACTCAGGCAAATTAAAAAAAGAAAACACACACACACAGAGATTGGACAGCCCACGGACTCAATAAGAGGGCTGCCAAACAAAGCTCTGCAAACAGGTAGGCACCAAGGAAGGCTGGGTAGCAAGCACTGTAGTCAAGGTCAGGGCACTGGACAGCCTGGCTAAAAGGCTGTCCCACTCCCATGCAGCCACAGAGGATGACATTTCCTCCTCCAGACACTAGAGGCCGTGGCTGGTTCTGCTGTCGCCACCACCCCTGCAGAAACGAATTCTCAACTGCCCTAGCTTCTCTGTGACTTGCTCCAGATTCAAAGTCCCAGTGGGAGCTTCTGACTGGCAGAGCTTATGTCTTTTGCCTACACCCTTGGAGCCGAGAAGTCTGGAAGAGCAAGCGTACGGGCTTTGTGGCAGGTGGTGGCTTGCCACCCATCAAGGCCTACGGAATGGGAACTCCCCAGATGTAGGCAGGAGACTCCAACTGTGGACAGCCAGGGAAACGGACAAATGCACACAACTCTCTTTTCTCATGTCTGCTCAAGCCCTTCTCTTTGGTGAAGCATTTCTAGGTCACCCAGTCTAAAAACACTCTTCTGGACTCACAAAACCATTACTGCTTGGGCCAATCATAATGCCAGGGAGAATCTGTACTGAGATCTACTGTGTACCACGCCTCATCTGACTTTCAAACAGCCCTAGGCGTTACTTGTAGGGAGGAAAAACTGAGTCGTCCAAAGTTTCCCCAAGTCATACAGGAGTGCCAGTTTACAAAGACAGGTCTGTTTCCAAAGCCTGGAGTTTCCCAGTGGGCTAGATTGAAGGGCTGGTATCTTATCAAGTTAGAGCTCTGGGAATGCAGGGATTGGGCTACATTCTTCTTTTTACGTCCTGGTAGTATCTACTATGTAGAAGATGCTCAATTAATGCTTGGTGGATCAGCCCAGATGACATCAAACAGGAGCCAGTTCTGGAAGGTTCTCTGACTTTCTTATGAGGTCTGAGCCCAGGAATCATTTCAAGGTGAAAGAAGTCTATTCAGAATCATTTTGTGAAGAAAAATCTCGAATCCAGGGAATTTTACTTTTTTATTTTCCTTTTACCTTTCAGCCCCACCTCCCCAAATGTGTCAAAACTGTCAGTAAGAAGTTTGCTGTCTGTTCATCCAATGGTTATTTCTGAATTCCACCACTGCCCTAATACGCTAGTGAGAAAAACGACACAACTTCTGCCCTGTGGAATTTACATTCTAGTGGGAGAGGTGAAAGTGAATAATCAAACAAATAAATGCTAATTTGTAGCTCTGATAAGTGTGGTAAAGGATGATGCCATGAAATGCTCTAAGATGCAGATCTGACCTATTATGTTAGGTAAGTCGGGGCAGCCTCTTTTGAGGACGGGCTAGAGCTGGGATCTGAAGAAGGGGGAGAAAGACTCAGAGGGGAATCTGAGTCTTTGAGGTGGTGACTTCCTCCGGGGTGAGAAATCATCGATCATCGAGCCTGTTTACGGAAAAGCGACAGAAGGACCAGGGCCCGGGTGGCTCGTTTGTGGGTGAGTGCGTCATGCCTGGATGGAGCCTGCCGCTTTCTCCCAAGTCCCAGCTGGGGATGACGTCGCCCTGGTGCCAGCCTAAAATAGCTGGCTCCGCCCCCATCTCCCGGCATCCCCTGCAGCAGCATCACCTCCACCCCTCCCACCCCACCCCCGTGTGACTGGCCCAGCCGGCCTCCTCTGGGTCTCTAGTAGTTTCCGTGCAGCTGACGCATGCTTGCGCGCACAGCTGGGCCGGGCGCGTCCTACGCAGCAGCCGCGAGCCGGGCAGCGGGTGCCAGACGGTTCCCGGCGGGGGGCAGGGGCGGGGCGCCGCAGGAGCTCAGGGACTCCAGGCGGAGGAGGTGCGGTTCAGGGTGCCCCGTCAGGCTGGGGGCTCTGATCCGGGCTGCAGAGTTATGGGTCTGCGATAGGACTCCCCGGGCCTGGGCACCGAGATAGCCCGTGGCACCGGCCTGCGGGGGCCGATAAGGCTGCTCGAGCGAGCCTAGTCATCCGCCCCAAGTAGAGTCCAGTGGGCTCTGCTTCCCCCTGGAAGCGCCTCCCGCCACCCGGGGGGCTCCAGCCCCAGGAAAGGGCCCTTAGGACTTTCTGTCTGACTCGTCCTTCTCTCCTGCAGCCCCAAGGAGGCCCGCCTGACTACTGACGAGTTGCCATGGCATCCTACTACGAGATCCTAGACGTGCCGCGAAGTGCGTCCGCTGATGACATCAAGAAGGCGTAAGTGCCTCCGCTACGCATCACAGAGCCTCTCAAAGCCCCCACCTTCCGCCATTATGGGGCCCTTCAGAGGCAGTGCAGAGGGAACCAGGTCTTTGACACTTGTAGGGAGGAAGGAGACCTCTGGATGAGTAGGAGAAAGTCCATAGCGTGGAGTCCAGCTGAGAGCCGCATTGTGAGTTTTTTTTCCCAGTAAACGCCCCCTTCCTCTCCCCTCCTCTCCTATCCCAACCCCCAGCCCCTAGGAGTGGGCTTTCTCAGGATGTAGTGCAAAGATGCCCAGGCAAGTGTGACCAGGAGGAACCAGCGCCCCTGTACTCTCCATGGCCAAAAGTAGCTCCTGACCTTTGCAAGCCCCAGAGAAGGGCTGGGGCTTTCTCTCCCTCACGTTGTCATCTGCCAATACAAGTAGTCCTACCACTGGCTGCAGAGGGCAGACAAGGGCTCCATTAAAACATGGCAGCAGAGGCAGCCCCAGTAGCTGCGTGGACTGGGCTGAGCGGTGAAAGGACAAAGGTTGGCTAATGGGAAAATGGGTCATTCTGCTCCCTGGTGGGACGTGCCAACACTTGACCCCTTCCTGCAGGTATCGTCGGAAGGCTCTACAGTGGCACCCAGACAAGAATCCAGAGAATAAAGAGTTTGCCGAGAGGAAGTTCAAGGAGGTGGCCGAGGCATATGAAGTGCTGTCGGACAGTAAGGGCCGGGGTCAGGGCAGGCAGCACCTATCACTCCCACTTCATGCCCCGTTACATTCCTTCCCAAAGCCATGTTACCACCACCCTAGTCTTTTTCCAAAATGCCTTTTGGAACCTGGCATTTAAGTGTCCCCCCTTCCACAGGGACTTTTGGAACTTTTCCCCTTTTTTGCTTCCAATGAGTACCTACTATGTGCATAGCACCTTTTTATTCTTCCCCTAATCTCCGGTGCTCAGTATCTGCTTCCCGGGATCTGGTAGTTGCAGCATGGATCCTGACGAAGGGAAGGATGCAGGGCGGGAAACCAATGTATGCTGAGCCTCCTCTGTGCCAGGCAGTGGTAGGTGTAATCACCATGAGTCTTCACAGCCATCCTGCGAGGCAGGATTTATCACCCCCATGTTACAGGCAAGGAAACCGAGGCTGAGGGAGGTGACGTAACTTGCTCAAGGTCACAGAGCTGGAATACAAATCTAGGTCTTTTATTTATTCATTCGAAAACGATTCGTTGAACGCTTATGGTGCTGGGCCCCTGTTTGGTACTGGGGACCAAGGGAAGACAAACAGGCACTGTCCTTGTCCTGAAGGGTTTATCACATCTGGTCAAGGAAGATGGACATTAACCGATTAAATGCATAGACAAGAGTATTCCAAAGGTGGGTAGCAGGAGGATGTGATAGGGAATAATGGGCACTGATTTTGTTATGATGGTCCCAGAAAGAGTTGTCATTTAGGCTAAGCCCTGATCAATAATAACTCAGTAATAACTGGCTAACATTTGTGGAACACTTACTCTATATCAGTCACTGTGCTAAGCCATTTTGTGGGTTATCCTATTTAATTTGTGCACAGCCCTGTGAGATAGGTGCTATTATTGAATCCATTTTACAGATGAGAAGCAGCCACTATGTAAAGGGCTGTGCTGCTGCTGAAACCTATAGCCAATGTCCCCTTGTGCACCTTGCTGTCCCCCAAGTGTCAGTCTCTGGGCAGTCCTCTGAGAGTCTTAGCCCAAAGGGGAGGCCAGCATCCCAGAGGGAGGGAGAAATGATCTAGTCTCTCTTTCCAGAGCATAAGCGAGAGGTCTATGACCGCTATGGCCGGGAAGGGCTGACTGGAGCAGGTAAGTGGAGCAGTGGGTCAGGGAGGAGCAGGGGAGGGAAGATTCTTGCAATGGATATTCTCCTGGGGTTCCTAGCCATGCTTGAGGTGGGGTCCTTTGGTTCAGGCATGATGCATGCCCTAAGTCTCCTCATCCTGCCTCTCCAGGAACTGGCCCATCTCGGGCGGAAGCTGGCAGTGGTGGGCCTGGCTTCACCTTTACCTTTCGCAGCCCTGAGGAGGTCTTCCGGGAATTCTTCGGGAGTGGAGACCCTTTTTCAGAGCTCTTTGGTGAGTGAACTCAGGAGAACCTCTGACTAGCTCGACCTCCCCCTCCAGGCCCACCCTCCGTCAGCTGGGAGACTGAGAGGGAAGCCACATTCCACAAACTGAAGATTTTGTGGGGGTGGATCCAGTGAAAGCTGGACAGAACCTTACACAGGCCTGAACTCACATGACTCTGTAATGACACTTCAGAGACTCGCCTTATTAAATGACAGCAACAATACTACATTGTTAGACCTTCACAATGACAGTCATGAAAACAAGACTCAGAGCATCATGTGACAATAGTAATGCTATTACAAACAACAACAGATATCGCTTTTTGGAGTGATTAATATGAACCCTGTGAGGCAGATAATTTTATACCCATTTGCAGATGAGAAAGCTGAGGCACATTCAAATAACTTACTTAGAGTCACACAGCAGATGGCAGAGCCAGACTTAGAGCTGTGTCTGCCTGACATTACACCATACTGATCATCTTATACAGAAGAAGCTATCTGTCTCCGCTTCCTCTCTCCCTCCCCCATTGGACAGAATTTACTAGTAAACTTTTTCATACTAAATATTAAATATTAAAAAGGAATTTAATTCATAAATAAGTCCAAGCAGGAGAAGAAATTAGAAATGTACCCAGTTGCTTAGCAGCTTGTATTTTTAAACTTAAAAGCAGGATTCACACATTTTTTGGGGGAAATCTCTTCACCACATGATGGTTAATCTGATTACTTGTTGCAGACGACCTGGGTCCTTTCTCAGAGCTCCAGAACCGGGGTTCCCGACACTCGGGCCCCTTCTTCACCTTCTCTTCCTCCTTCCCTGGACACTCTGGTAAGTGCTGTCCATTCCCATTTTCACGAGCTCTGAGTCCTGGAACCCCTCACTTCAGCTTGTGGCTTTTTCAAGCCTCCTTCCTGGTGCATCTGGAGCCCTGCCTCTGGGCAGCTCTGTGGGGAGAACCCACAGGTTCCTGGCCCATTGTGACTGCAGCGTGCTGCACGCAGCCCCTGTCTCACCTGACCTCTCCTCCTTCTCCTCTGTCCCAATGCCAGATTTCTCTTCCTCATCTTTCTCCTTCAGTCCTGGGGCTGGTGCTTTTCGCTCTGTTTCTACGTCCACCACCTTTGTCCAAGGACGCCAAATCACGACGCGCAGGTGAGGGCCCCTCGTGGGACCATACCGGGTGGGTGGGGAGCTGCATACAACTAGAAAGTCAGCCCCTTGAGGTTAGAGCCCCGTCTGTCCTGCTCACTGTGGCATTCTAGAGCCTGGACAAGCACCTGCAAGGCTCTGGCATGCCCTCTGAATGACCTGTGCTGTCTCCCACAGAATCATGGAGAACGGGCAGGAACGGGTGGAAGTGGAGGAGGACGGGCAGCTGAAGTCAGTCACAATCAATGGTGAGGAGTGGCTCTGCCACCCAGTCCCTGGCAGGAAGCTCTAGCCTCAGGCTCCAAACTGCTCCGCAAACCGCTCCTGCCTGAATTCCCTTGGGGCAGGGAGAGCATGGCAGCCGCAGGTCAGACTGGTAGGATCAGAGATGGTGATCACGGGGACAGGGGCCAGGACAGGGAATTGAGGAGTCTCAGAGGGCCGGCTAGTCACCATCATCATTAGTGGGGTGCCTGGCATTTGCAGAGCACTTTACTGTTTTTAGAGTCCTTGCACACGTACCATAACCCCTGCATTCTTCAACCAGCCGGGAGGAAAGCAGGGCAGTTGGTGTTCACCCTGTTTTTCATTTGCAGAGGCTGTGCCTCAGCACAGCTAAATGGCCTGTATCCCAGGTACCCCCAGGCCCAGGGCTCTGTCCTACTTAGTAAGGGGAAAAGCCAGGAATGAAACTCAGGACGCAGGATTCCTGGAGCTGGACTCTTCCCACAACACCTGGCTGTACATGGTGGTTACCATGGCTACCCTTTCATGCCTGCTGACCCTGCGAACATGGTGCCGTCTTTTTTAATTATTGGAGTAATTTGACGATGTAAGCAGTCTCATCATTCCTAGTTTATAGATCAGGAAAGGGAGGCTCAGGGAGGTTGAATAACTTGCCTAAGGACATAGCTCATACCTGCTGGAGCTGAGTACCTGCCTGTGCTCATAACCGCTATGGTAGGTGTCAAAATGCATGTGTTCCAGTTCCAAAGGAGGGGCTGGAAGTGGTCAGAGATGTCGGGATTTCCCTAGCCTGGGCCAGAGGGCCTCATGGTGGGCATGACTCCTGCAGGTGTTCCAGATGACCTGGCGCTGGGCTTGGAGCTGAGCCGTCGTGAGCAGCAACAGTCCGTCACCCCTAGATCCAGGGGCATGCAGGTGCGGCAGACTCCTGCCTCACGCCCCTCCGACAGCGACCTCTCTGAGGATGATGAGGACCTGCAGCTTGCCATGGCTTACAGCCTGTCAGAGATGGAGGCAGCTGGGAAGAATCCGGCAGGTGGGCGGGAGGTGCAGCGTCGATGGCTGGGGCTGCTCAAGGCCCAGTACCACGATCCGGGCATGGGGGGTACCCATGAGGGCGCAAGGGGTGAGGCAGCCAAACCCAGCTCAGCCCCGGAGGAGAAGGCCTCTCGCTGCCTCATCCTCTGATCGCCAGGCCCAACCCACCCCGATTCAGGCTGACCTGGGGTCCTGCTTGCTGTTGGGAGAGCAGAGAGGGGTTTATTAGATGGGGGGTTTCTAAGGGGCATCAGTGGTTTGAGGCGGGCCTTTTGTGCCCAGGTCTTCTGCCACCTGTGTTGCTGATGATGTCAAGGAAGGAGGACTTGGCCTGGGGTTCTCTGAGCCTGAATTAGCAGCTACAGTGGGGAGTCTCAGCTCTCCTGGTCCAGCTGCAGACACCCCACCCTGGTTTCTGTGCAGTGTTGAGCTCTGACCGTCTCTGTTGCTTCCCTTCTGGTGCTGCTTCTCCTTCCTCACACTCTCCTCTCTGCAAGTCCCCGTGGGCCGCACCGCTTGCTTTCACTGCCGTCTGGCTAGGACTCCCTTCTTCCTTCTCTGAGAAGGCCTCAGTGTGGCGAGGAAGATACTGTGGCCGATAGGGCCATAAGGTCTTCCGGGGAGGCTAGCTGGGTGGGGCGGGAGCCTCTCTGCCGTCCAGATTCGGAACCGGAGCCCACTCCTCCTCCCTTCCTCTCGCTGCCTCAGCCTCAGGACTAGGCAGAGGTGAGGCTTGCTAACCCTGAAGAGGTGGGATAGGGCCGGGGTGCCCCAGGAGGGAGGCCTAGGAGGGGACTGTGCCCCATCCTACTTCACCATGCATCAGGGCTCAGGGAGAGGCCACAGGGCTAGCCCAGGTCTGCATGCTCGGCGCCATCCTCCATGGCTTGCTGCTGACCCTCTCTCCTGTCACCCACCCCCACTCTCTCCCCAGATGTGTTCTGAGCTGGATGTCCGGGATCCAGAGTTGCTGCACAGTTCCAACAGGACAGCGCCCACCTCTGTGCGCTGGGAAGGGGACCCTCCATTCCTCACCCTCACCCGTGCAGAGCATAGAGCTGGGCCTGGGTGGTGGGTGGGGACTAGGCGGGAAGTGTCAGTAGTCTTAGCTTGTAAACTCTTACCTGGGTGTTTGATATTGTCTCTTGGGGACTACAAGTCCCAGAATGCAATGTACTATGCCTCATTTCTGATTGATCATGCTTGGAGGAAGTGGTTCTTGGTTGTGGAGCTGTGCATCTTGGGACATGTAGTTCTAGCCCAGGTTGGCCTGTTACTCGCTGTGAGATGTGGAGATCTTACCATCTGATTTGTCCCTGGCAGGGGTGGTGAGAATGTGGATGAAGGGGTAATGGCCCGAGCTTCCATTCCCTTGACGTCTCTTGCTAGCGCTGGGGTTAGAGTGTGCAAAACAAACCCTTGTGGTATCCGGGTGAAGCTCTTTTCCTGTGGGCAGTACTAGGGTCTGGGGAACAAATTTGGGCAAGATGCTAAGCAGGGTGTAGACCCAGAAAGCTGATGGGGTTGGCCGGCAGAGAGCTTGAAAGAAAGGACCTGTGTGTGTGTGTGTGGCTGGGATTGGCATGTGACACGTCCTCTGGGCATGTTGCTGCTTATATGGCTTTTTTGGCCTCTGACCCTGATACCCATTCTCTCTCCAACACCACAGCTGAGCTGCCTCTCCTCCTCCCTGCCTGGGGAGCCCAGTAGCCAGGGAGGGGAGTGGTGGAGCCAGGATGTTGGCAGATCCTATGACACTATCTCAGACCTATCAAAGCCAGCTGGGCTGAGCTCAGATCAGAGGGAAACACTGGAAGTCAATAAAGCTGAGTTTTGAGAGCTCGGTGGTGTGCTGTATTCCTATGTTCTTCCTTTCCAGGGAGGCCCAGGGGACCTATGGGACTAGTAGGTGACATGCCTTCTCATAATTGCCAAAACATCTAGAGGTTGCCAGCCTTCCCAAACAACAGCAGATGCCTCCTCCCTAAGTATGCTGTGGAATCCCAAGAAATGCTCACATTCTTCTGCCCTCATCTCCTGGGGCTCATGAATGGCTTGCCCTGGGCAGCTGTGTTCACTGACAGAGGGACCCACCACCCAACACTCTGCAGCACAAGTAGGACCAGACTAAGGTGTAACTTGACTGAAGGCGTGGGGAGAGCAGAAAGTAGGGAACATGTGAAAACCTGTAAAAAACGTACTCCTGAGGTCTGCACACTGAGCCCCTGCACAGGGTTCCTTAGCCCAGAGCCAGGGGCCAGTCTCAGAGGACTGCCTCCCTGTGAGAGGAGTAGCATGGGTCTGCCCCACCCAGGAGTTCAGGTCCACAACTCCTCAGGCTCCAGGGAGGAGAAAGCCAGGTACCTCTCCCCATCTCCAGACACCTATAGAGCTTCCCTTCAAGCCACGAGCATCTCTGCATTGCCAAGCAGTGCAGCGTGGCTTCCCACCATCTTTCTCATTCCAGGATAAGTGATTGACTTCATCTTCAATAGCCAAAGGGCCTATAGTGTATTTTCCTCAAAACGAGGAAGCAGCCTTCCCTGAAAAAATTTCAAGCCTCTATGTTGAGAGAGAGAATCTGCTGGAAGTTTTTAAATGGTTATTTTGCCAACTGCCAGCCTTTGAGATGTCAAACGTACGGGAGTCGTGTGCACCTGGGCCGAGCCCAGGTGAAGCATGGGGGCACTAGCGGCGGGCTCCCCGGTTCCTTCTCTCCCTGTGCTGGACAGATGGTACTCGCTCTGTTTTTCATGTGAGGAGACTGGGCCTTGGCAAGGTTAAATGGCCCTAACTCCCAGTAGCCCCAGGCCCAAGGCTCTTTCTGCCTCATTTCTATGTCCACTACCTTTGTCCAAGGACGCCTTATGACATGTGAGGGCTCCTCTGGGACCATACAGAGTGGAGGTTTTGGGAACCAAGATGTAGGGGAGAGAAGAGGTGTCCCTTGCTCCCCAGTGAATGCCTGTTGGGACATCTCACAGGCCTGGTCTATGAGTCACTGAGAGTTTAGCTAGTTTTGCTTACGGGGTGCAGGCACTTGGCCTGTACCTCCTCTTTCAGTCCTGACCTCAATCCTGCACAATGAACATTACTCCTGAGGCCCAAGGGCACAAAGCAGTTGTCCTAGAACTGAGAGGAGAGCAGGAAAGAGGTTCAGCATGCCCGGGGTTCGAATCCTAACTCCACCTCCTACAAGTCATGTTGCCTCAAGCAAGTTCTATGCCACAGTCTCTTTGTAAAATGGGGCTAATAAGTGTTAGTGCTGTCATGAAGGTTAAACAAGCGAATGTACGTAAGCACCTTGGAGCCTGCCGGCCATAACAGGAAGCACAGCACAGAAAACCTATGGCCTGGTTATTAGCTCCCATCCAAACCCTGGAGAGCCTGACTCTGCAGCCGGGCTCTCCCATCACACTCTGCATCCCTGAAAAATGCAACAGGCCTGGCTCCAGACTGAGGCTGGGCCTGGAGTCTGGAAGCAGAGCAGACAGAAGCGTGTAGGAGTCCAGGTTGCAGCTGCACACACGACACTATCTTTATTCACAGTGATACAAAAGTAGATTTTTTGAGAAATGTTCTCTTGTGCCAGAGGGAGAGTTAGTTGAGTGGTATGGAGCGGGAGGGCAGGGGGTTGGAAGAGGAGCTCTGAGGGAGGGGTCAGGAAGGGCAGGGGCCAGAGCGTGGGTTAGGGAGGCAGAGCGGGGGCAGTAGGGGCTGGGAAAGCAGGGGCGGGGGCTGGATGTGGTGGCCCCTCCACCCTGTTCTGTCCTCACTAGAGGGTGGAGGGCATCCACACACGTTGGGAGCATCCAGAATGGTGAGAGATGGGAGCCAGGGAACTCCGGAAGGAGAAGGCTCTGGGTGCAATGGCTGCCCATGACTTTCTTCCTCCCGGCTGGCTGCCAGCTCCCCCATGGGACGTCCTGGGCTCTGCATGCATGAGGCTGGGCAGGCCTGCCTCTTCCCTCTTCTCCTACCTTCCTTACACACTCCTTTTCGAAGGGCTAGGCATGCCCAGGAAGAGCCAAGGTGTGGGTGGGGGACTGAGGAGTGGGTACACAGATAGATGCTCACACAAGCAAAGAGAAAACAGAGGCTGGCTCCCCACCCAGGGGCCCCGCAGGGGCTCACTGGGGCAGGGCCTTCAAGATGGCATTCACCTCCTCCGCCACAGCTGTCAGGGCAAATTCAAACTGGTCCTGGAAAGGGCAGTGGGAGGACAGTCATGGCAGGCCTGGCCTCTGTTCCAGCCCCAGGGGCACATTTGGGAAGGGGAGCTGGGGAGGTCACTTGGCAGAGTGGGGAGCACTCCTGGGGGAGGTACAGAGGTAGGCGGAAGAGACAGGCTGCTGCTAGCTTCCCTGGGGAAGGGTGGCATTGAGGGTTGGGGCAGGGAGGAGCAGTCACCTTAGAGCGGACAAGTCCAGGCCGCTGGTCACGGACATGCTCCAGGGTGGCAGCGATATCAATCTCCTTCACTCCTGGGGACAGGATGCACAGGGCTGCTCAGGGGGTGTTCAGAGGAGGGTAGGACCCAGAAAGTCTGGGCCATCCTGGGGTGGGAGGCTTGGAGGATTAGGCGAAGCCGGGGCCTGGGCTTTGGGCACTGTGGGAAAGGTCCTCACCTTTTGCCATGCGGTTCAGTACCATGTCGATGAGGATGTAGGTGCCAGTCCGCCCTGCACCGTCGCTGAAATAGGAGAGAAAGATAGGCTCAGCTCAGCTCAGGACCCAGCAGAAACGGGAGAGGTGGAGGAGACAGTGCTGGAGCCACTCGGGCTGGCTTGGAGAGGGCATGAGTGAGCTGAGAGTGAGGGAGGGGTCACAGCACCTGGGCCCTCAAGAATTGAGCCTTGAGTTGGGAGCCTGTGACCCACGGGTATCACTTGGGCTGTGGGCCAATAAGAAAGGAGAGCCCTGGCTCAGCCCTGGGGTGGAGGCGGCTGGAGGAAATAGGAATGTGTTCCCAGTCTCTGGCCAGGCTTTTGTTCAACCATTTTTTTTGTGTAAATGGCCAGATGGTAAATATTTTCAACTCTGTGGGAATCGTATAGTCTGTCACACATGCTTCTTTTTTCCCTTTAACCACTAAAACAATGTGAACACTATTCTTAGTTCACGGGCCCTTAAAAAAACATGGTATGCTAAATGTAGCCCACGGGCTATAGATTGCAGGCCTCAAGGGGATGGGCAGGAGCGCGCATGGGAGATATGCACAGGGAGTGAGGAGCAGAGGGGCAGGAGTCAGGGATGCCCTCTGATCTGGGCTGTCCTGTACCCTTCTAGCCCTACCCCTGTCCCACAGCCCCTCTCCACACACCTGCAGTGCACGATGATGGGGCAGGAGCGGCCTCGGTAGCACTTATTCACCTTCCTGCAACAAGAAATGGGCGTGAGGGTCAGGGGGCACCAGCAGAGGGAACGGGGAATCAAAAAACACACCTCTGGGCCTCTCTCTTTTTTTTTCTCCCCACAAGGCCAGAACGAAGGAGGGAAGGGGAGTCATGGCTAAAGGCAAAGAACCAGAGATGGCGTGGGTAGCACTGGGCTTGCCTTGTTACTTACAAGCTCTGTGCCCAAACTGTTCACCTGGAACAACTGATTTATCCTCTTTGAGCCTCAGTTTTCTTACCTGTAAAATGGGGATGGTAATCATAATAACTTTCTTACCATGGTTATGAGATAATCCATGTAAAGAACTAAGTGCAAGGTCTGGCACACAGTAGATGCTCAATAAATGGCAGCTACTATTAATGATAATACATATTAACAGCCACCTCTGCCAGAAGTCCAGAGAGGACAGGCTTTTGGCTGTCCTCAAGTGTGTCAATCTTGCCAAATTCCTGCTCTGCCTTTCTGCCCTCCTCTACAACTGCCCAGGCTGTTCCCCTCCCCGCTCAGGCTCCCTTTGGTCCTCATCGGCCATGAAGTCAGATAGCCCTGGGCACAAAGTTCCTTTGGCCAGAGGAGGACAGTCCCTCAACTCTGAACATTGTGATGCTGCCTGTCCTCCTGGATCAGCCTCACCTCGGCATAGTCGCTCTGTGGTTGGGCCATATTTAGACTTGTGGTCCACTTGGACTTCAGATACTTCTCTGCTGCCCTGACCACAGCTCAGCAAGAGGCAGGAGATTTCTCCCTCCCTCAGTGGCCCAGTCTAACCTGCCCTTGTCCCTTATAACATTCTTGCTTTGAGAGTCACCTGCAGAATCCTGGTACCTTCATTGGGCCAGGACTAGGAGGATCTTCTTAGGGATTAGCAGATGGTTTCAGGGATATCTTGGAACTTAGTGGTCCCCCAGTCTGGCTCCCCCATGCTTGTAGGGGCCAAGTGATTTTTGGATGATTTTACAGGCATCCACATGGTTTTCTAGCACATTGGCTTGGCCATCAGAGGGCTGGGTTGTAACAGAAGTTGCAACGGTGGTTCCTAATTGTTTAATAATAATGATAATAAATAGTATCTAGAATGTACCAGGCGCTTAAACTGGATTTTATCCTATTGACCCTCGCAACGACCCCCTGAAGTATAACTCATCATCCTCATTTCACAGGTAAGGAAACAGAGGAAGGTCAAGGAACTTGCTAAGGGTCAATTTCTGAGACTTTAAAAAATTATTTTGCCTTCTCCCTGGTGGCAAACTATATTTATTAAGCAGCAATTAATTTGTTCTGGGTGTCTATATGCCACTGAGTTTACATCATTCTAGCCTAAAGCAAAGGCTTTTAGCTTATCTGTGAGCCTTAAAATGGGTCCATGCTCTATAAATATTTTTAAAATGTGGAAAACAGGAAATAGCTCTGATGCCCTTGGCATTGCTTTTAAGAAGCGATGT